CGCCCCCGGGCAGCGGGCATCGACGTCTGTTCAAGGGCAGGTTGATGAAACGCGAAATAAAAATCGCATTCATGTCAACGGTGTCGGCCTGTTTTATGATCCTAGGGCATCACTTAAGTCTGAAGAGCTTTATCCATGAGGAAGGCGTCGTACAGTGCCAGCCCGGGCAGAAATCCCTCCCTGCTCTGGCCCCTCCGTGAGGGGAAATTAATTGTCTGCTGCTGCTGAGGTTGGTGTTAACGACTGAGAACCAGAAAATAGGCCACTCGGGTTTTTTATGGATACATATAAATGGAAAAACGTAAACCAGAAGACTGCAAGGTGATGCTAGATGTAGGCATAAGTGTACAATCTAACTTGGAAACTTGCTTATATTTATATTTAATGAGTTAGGCTTGCTGCTCAGTAGACACTGCATTGTGCTTGATCTGACTTTAAACAGTTAAAACCAGCTGGTGGCTGTTTTCTTTCTACCTCCTTATTCTTACTTGTTGTGTACAGTTACATTGGTTCAATGGTGAATAGGATGACATGAATTTGGTTTTTATGTTTACTAAAGCTAACACAGGTTGTTCCGGGTTCTTCCTCCTGTGGTCTTCTGATGGGGGAGATGGGCAATCCTGACCTGAGATCGGGATAAGTGGCTGTGGAGTTGTTCTTCACTGTGTCTAAGCTGATCCAATGCTGGCTGCTGGTGAAGGTGACCATCCTCTTTCCCTAGCATGGGTTATGTGTATCTCCTCCCTGCCTCGTGTTGGTCTGACCCCAAGATGGGTTACAAGATAAATCACTCTTCTATAGAAGAGATTTAAGTTTCTCTTGGTTTCCTTTCCTGAATCACGATCACAGCAGGATCAGATGAATGCTAATGTGCAGCTTATTTTTGGTGGCAACTGGCTGTTAGAATGAGTTAGCTGTAACATTGTGCACCTCGGATATTATCACTAATGGCAGCCCTGACATGGGAAGTCTTTACTATTCTTGTGTAACATTTTGAAGTGGTTTGTAGCATCTTTGGAATGCACGCAGTAGACTAATTTTTGTGTGAGTGATTTGGATAGTGTGTTTCCAGAAGTCAGATTTTTGTGGCAGTAAGATGAGAAGATGGGAAAATTCCTAGGGATGGAGTTTGAGGTAGGAGGACAAGAACGTCTCATGTCCTGGACATAAGATGGCAAGCAAAAGTGCTTGTGCTGTCTATTAGAGTTTGAGTCATTATAACATCCTACGAATTGCTTTGGGATGGGGGTTTAAATTCCACAACTGTGTTCTGGCTGTGCTGTCATTTGATCAAGGAAAACATCAATCTGTAACAGGGGGCCTAGGTTGTCCTTCTCTATTGCACGTTTCTCTCCCACTTTCACTTTTCTTTAGCTTATGTACTGCTTTTCACTGTATTGTGAGGTGGTTTGAGGCCTTAAATATTGTGGTGGGGGGGGGGGGTGTGTGTGTTTTTTTTTTTTTCCTTCTTCTGGGGATTGTTTAAAGGACAACTCTATTTGGTCAAAAAGCACAACACGAGCATGTCTTTTGGTGTGTGTGTGTGGTTTTTTTTTTTTCCTTCTTCTGGGGATTGTTTAAAGGACAACTCTATTTGGTCAAAAAGCACAACACGAGCATGTCTTTTATCTTTTTCCCATGAATGCTAAAACTGTGAACTGCCAAGTTCAAGGTTCAGCATTTTCCCATATTATTTTAACTCTTCGCAGTACTCTGTCTTGCTTTTTATGCACTTATAATAGTTTTGTTGTTTAACTGCCCATTTTCCAAACAAGGGATCCCAGATGAATCCTTCCGTATGATCTTAAGAACTCTTAAAAATGTAAAGTAAGCCTTTTGTCTCTTCCTAATAAAGATGCTGAGAGTCCTCATGTTGAGAAGGGTACCAAGGTTACTGACTCTTTGGCTCTTCCAGCCTTCCTTGCAGGTGTTTAGGCAAAGCTGAGACATAGACATGTTGCGTTTGTACGTAGGTTTTCACTCTTCTCTTCCCTTTGATCTTCCTTTGTTATCCAGAAGCCACAGATGCTTGCAAATTACTAGCAGATTCTAGGAACTCATTTTGCCGTGTTCAGATGGGAGCCTAAAAGAACATCCAAACCAGATTTATTCATAGAGGTACTTTTACCTTGGGATCTCTGGGAGTAGGTTGAAATGTGTGCATCTTCTTTCATTTTTGGTTTTTCTCCAAAAGGACTGTGCTGCTTTGACACTTTCCAGTTTTATTTTGTAACTGTCAGAATATCTTGAAAAATCAACAGTCCTTGCTACACTATGTGCTTCTCTAAGGACACATTAAGACTTGTAAAGACTCTCTTAAACTCCTGCCATTTGAAGCATAAATTCTTTTGAATTTGCAACCAGGATGTGTTGTGGTGTATGTGCAGTCTTGCATAGACTGAAGGAGAGCCTTACGCAGTGAAGAAGGCAGTCCTCGCCCCCATGGGATGTGAGAACGGTCTTACGAGGAAGTAACTAAGCAAGCGGAAGGAAATTGTAAAAGTGAAGCATATTGTAGTGACAGGGTTTTAGCAGCAGTACTAGTAATGTTAAGCAGTGGTAGTAAGTTTTAATGTTTGAGGCAATTTCTGAACTAGATCAGTTCCAAGTAGTTTATCACCTTGTCTAGGCCTGTTTAGAGCAGAGGTAGAAGGTACAGTTACTGTAAATCACCTTGCCCATCAGGAAAGAATAGTACCGTACCACTAAATCTGGCTGTTGAGTTTCTGACTTGCATGGTAATTAAATGGATGGCAAATACGTAAATACAGGTAAAATAAGAACATGGTGTTCTGAGTTTCTAACAGACGCAGATGACTGCCACTCAGGATTTGCTGTACACACACCTAGCTTGTATTGCTGAGGTTATTTTTTTTTCTGGGTGTCAGCTCTTACAGATGAGAGCGAAGCTGATCAATGATAGGCTTCTCTGCTTTCAGACTCGTGTTGACGCCAGTAGATTATTCTGTGTTTAGGTCAATGGAAACTTTTGGGCTATTTTATTCCTCTCCGTGAATACGTGCCAGCAGTGTTTGCAAAATCTAGCAGTTTGATACTCCTCGAGGTCTGTGCCAGCACAGCCAGCAGTAATCGTGTCCATGTACTGTGCAGTCATTTGTCTGTTCTCTCGGGCTGGTGTACGCGTGGTTCGGAAAGGCAGAGTCCTGGGCTGCTGAACCTTAGAGGGACCGGCTTCCTGCTTTTCTCCTGCTTGGGTTAGATGGGTTTGATGTGATAACTTGAGACGTCATTTCTAGGGGAATATTTTTTTCCCTAACTTCCACTCTGCTCTTTGCTAGCTGCAGTAATAGTTAAGTGTTACATGACCAGAAAGAAGTTTGCAAATCCGGTGAGGAACTGCCATCTGTGTAAATGAGATATTTCTCTTACAGGCAGATAATATTAGTTAACTGGCTTTTATTTTCTTGAATGAGGAAGAACAAGGTCAAGGTAAATTTCTTGTTTTTATTAGGAAAGTAATTTACACCTTGTTTTGCTAATGTTTTGCAAACAGATGTGTGTTATACTGCTCAGAAAAAACAATCCTGCCTTGCATCATCTCTGTGCTAGAAATCTTCTCTTTTTCATCCAGCAATTTACAGAGTAGAACTCTTTAGCTGGTAATTAACTTGAAGTTAGTAATTCAAGCAACATAACTTTGCTGTCTTTACTAGTAAAAATGAAGTTATGAGGGTTGCTTATTCACTCTTTGTACACTGTATGACACTTTCAAAGTTTCAAGAACTGTCACCTACATACTTACATGTACATAATTATTCTTTTTTAAATAGCTGGCATGATCAGTTTATGGACTGCAAATTTGATTGTTTCACTGAAGTTTTTAGTTTGGGCATTGGCTTGCATTCTTAGTGATTCAAAAATTGGGATGTTGCACTCCTATGAAGGAGCAGGAGTGTAGCTGTTTAGAAATAGCTCAAAATGCAGGTGAAGCCAGCCAACTTTACTGGTTACAGTAAGAAGGCACTAAATAACTTCAGAAGCCTAAATTGGAGTTTCAGGACTAGTGAAGAGATGCTGTGATCATTGTATGCAGAATCTAAAGGCCTGGCTTTTAAATTGAGGGGATAATTTGGGGGAGAATTCTCTGGTTTATACAACAATTTGGGTGACCTGCATAAATAGAGGTGGAAACAATTTGGTAAAAGTCGAAGCTAACACAAGCAGAATGGATATTTATATATGGGAACGCAAGCCACACAAACTTTACTGAGCTGTTATGCAAACCAGAGCATTTAAAGCAGCATATTCCGTAAGGATATACTAGGTAATGCCAGTGTAAGATCTGTGTGCCTCGTTAGTATAGTGGTGGAAGTTTTTTGAGCAGTATTTGGCATTTAAGAGATGCGTGGAGACTTTTGTAAGCCAGCCAGATAAATATTCCAAGGGAAGTCCTTAGAACCAGTCTCTTTCATGTAGCACCAGTTGCTTGTACCTGACTTATTTTTTAATTTCATTACTTTCTGCCTTTATAAGTGTTAACATATCAGCCTAAGAGAACAAATGATCTGAAAAAAGTATGCCTGGCTGTAGGTCTCTCTTCTAGAATAGAAAGTTATGAAAGCAAGGGATGCTCTTGGAGGGTTTGACTCAGCCTGGTTGACCTAAATATAGGAAGGAGGGAGGACTTTGTAGGCAATGCTTGCCAGTAGGGCGTGGACAATTGTTCCAAAATTGAGATGATTTTATGTAGCAAATGTGCTCTTCTTCATCGAACACTCCTTTTTCTTAATGTCTTACGTCTGTATATCCAACAAATGATATTGGCTTCACTTATAATCTTTCCCAAAGGAAATGTGTGAAGGAGCAGCTTTGGATGGTTTAAGAAGCAAGACAAAAATCTTAAGACCCATCTCATTTTAGTTAAATGGATGATTGTAGCCTGTCTCCCGATGCACAGTCTGCCTCACAGTACTATTGCAACTTTAAATAATTAGTTGCCTGTTTTTGTGTCCATGCCTGGCCTGAGTCCTCTTCAGCTGTTCTCTTGCTGTCCGAGGAAACAGCTGTTTAGGAACTGTGATTCCTATTTCAGTCAAGTAGGAGACTACCGTTAGGATTAACAACATGGGAAGCCCAGCCTTTTTCTTTGCAAGCCCAGATGCTGAGCTTGTCTGCAGGATGTAATGTTAATCATTACCTCATCTAGAAGGATGTTTTTCCAGGCCTGTTGCTGAATAAAGTTGGAGCTCAAGCGTACTTGCAAGGCTT